TTCGTTGCTCCGTTGTTCCCGCTAACAAGCAGATGCAAAACACTGTCATTTCAACGTCATCTGGACTTATCTGGACGTTTCAAAGACGATCGCGGCCACGTTCATTCAAGTTGAAATGTGGTACAGAACCGGGGTCGGGTCCGACGAAGCCTCTCGACGTCTTATATGACCAAAATTTTTGACGTTGATATGACTCCCCATTACAGTTTCTATTGAAACTACTTATCCTCTGCAGAATCACTTACGGGTCGAGACTACTTTTTGCAATAGGCAGGCAAGGTTTATTTGTATAGCACAGTCAAAACAAAGGAAACTCAAACACTGAAACAAAAATAGAAACAATCAAAACAGGCATTACAATTATAAATATTGACAGTAAATTAAAAAGATAAAAAATAAAATCTCTCATAAAATCGCCATTGAAGCAGAAACAGAAGTGTTTTTAAACCGGGATTTAAAACATTGTCAAAGAAGAAGCCTGGTCTCACATTTCCCAGGAAGACCGTTCCAGATTTTAGCCTTGTGAAACTGAAATGCAGGCTTTTATCCAATGTTTAGTTCTGACTCTGGGCAATACACGATAAACACAGCAGTCAAAAACCTGAGAAACAACGTAGTAAAGGATATCAGTCATTATTTGTCAAATGGAGCTGCATTAAAAAATCATGTTTCCTACATCAAAGTACACGTTCAAGCACACAGGGCACAGTGTTATAGAACACTAAGTCTGAACATTCAGCAAAGTAACAAAAAACATGATTGTAGCCCTATGTTTGGATCCGTAATAAACAGGCACACGCCACAACTCTAGGTTTCCCCAGATGTACAAACACAATCTGAAAGGCAGAAGAATGCATTTAATGAATGTTGAGGTGTTCCAAACATGTGGTCCTCTCTTGTCTGCAGTCTCTCATAACAAGGTCCAAGCACAGCCCCTGAAAATGTGGAACATGTTTTAGTTTCATCATAATGTTGCAAAGTGATATAACCAACACATAACTTTCTAGTAATGCCCTCAACCACTCGAATCCATCACCAGGGGATACAAACCTTAGGCACTGCACCCTCGCTTGAACACTGGAAGACACTCTGTCTAGAAAACTTGGGATAAGGCTTTGGTCATTGGAGTAAAGCCATGTAAAAAAACAATTGCAAATGTGCATTTGTTTTGCACATGGACACAAATTAGCCCCTGAAAGCTGACTTACCCCTGTATACTGGTACACATGTTGCATTCTTCGCGAGGGGGGCATTTTCCCCTTGTTGTTCTTTTTCCCTCATGCTTGAGTGAGTTGCATGAACAATCTGAGAAAAAGAATGTTTTCAAGAGAATACACCAAATAAGGTTTATTCGAAAAACCACATAATAATACAGAAGAAACAATCAATGTGTGAGAGTGTGATTCTTACCTGTCGAACACCTTCAACACAGTCTGACACCTGTAAAAGACTCAAACAACACATGACACATTAGGACACTCGAGAACATTAGTTATTGCAACATGCATGAAAATTATACACTAGCTATGGATTTCACAATAATTGGACTGCATTAGCCAAAGGTAAATGTATGTTAATTAACATAGGCTGGTTTTAAAGTTTATAAGAAAAAGTAAGAAATTGAATAGAGGTTGCAAGCGCTAGTTAGCTTGCTACCAAGCAGCAGATGAATGGATATTTAATATTTGCAGCTAAGCAACTAACCAAAATAACAACTGTAGTGGCTCATATTTTAAACAGCCACAGTGAGAAGAAGTGAAAGTCCTCTGACATTGACGACGCTGGGAAGACATTAAATCTCCATTTAATTAGACAAAGCAATACATGAACATTAAACTCTCTTTCTGACAGCAGGTAACATCATGTGGTGCTCCTATTGGTCCCACATGGTCCCACATGGTCCCACACCTGAACTCAACTCCACTGATGACATCACAGGTGTCTAAATGATGGGAGTGTCCTCAAATATTAAAGCTGATCATCCCCTGTTTTTAAACTTAGTTTTTACTAGGTTTTCGACTGTTGTCCTTTTTGCAGTTTATAAACCATTGTGATCTATACAGTAACTTTTGATAATAATTTGAATTATTATAATTAAAACTCCAGAATCATAACCTTTTTTAAACACAGAGTTTGTTGGACAGTCTAAGCCTAAGAATTCTAATGTGACTAAAAAGAGTTTGAAATATGAAAAACAAAATCATATTTATAAACTTTACCTTAAAAAACTAAAAAAGGTGTCTCCCTTGCAGCTGAGCAGATGCCAGCCGGTATGTTATAGATTCATCACTGTGCGAGGCAAATTTCAAAATACAGATAATATACGAAATATACTTAACAAAATTCCACGTATAACGTGAGAAAACAACTTACTTCTGTCTCCACAAACTCTTTTCAATGTGGAAATGATACATCTATATCTAAAAACTCGGTGCAGACTGTGTACATTACTAGAAGGTGCATTCCATAAAATAAAGCAGGCAGCGACCAGAGGTAACAG